CCTACCTAATTTGCATATTTTTTTTTAAATATCAAAACCCCTAGCCCTTATTCATTCACATACCAAAAATGAGCAAAATCCGTTGAACCTGAACTGACTAATGGCAATTCCCATTTTTGCCAAAAAAATCGCCGTGGCTCGAAAGTACGCCAACTGGCGTGCTCCAAAATAGGACGTTTAATATAGGAGCATAGCAGTAACAACTACACCCAATTTCAAACATGTGGGTCAAACAGTTCCTGAGTTATCGTTGACCGAAGCCAAATGTTGACGGACGGACGGACGGACAACGACCCATGGCAATAGCTCAGCTTGACGATGTCAAGGTGAGCTAAAAATGTTCCCTGGAGTTCATTGCACAGTGTCCTAAATATAACATTTCTCAATTGAATCCTGATAATTGAACCATAAAAATAAAATTCAATTAATCAATTCATCGATATCATTATCAACTGAATATGAAAAAATATGACCCAATATATTACTATCTGAATGCATCACTAATGATGAATGCCAAGAGTCCTAGTTAGATAGCATCAATTTTCATTAAATTAATAAGAGAGCTGAAAACGCTCCAAAACTATTTCCCTTATAACAAAACCAGCTCGAGGACATTTGGTAAGAATAACTATAGAAGACAACCATTGACTGTACATTTACAGTTACAATAAGAGAGCTGAAAATGCTCCAAAACCATTTCCCTTATATAAAAAAAACCATCTGGAGGACATTTGTGAAGAATAACTATGGAAGAACACCATTGCCTGTACATTTATAGTTACGAATTAGAAATAACATTTTACAGAATATCTCCTTAATAGATTTTCACATACTTATGAATTTATTTTCTGCATATGACATATCACATTAGCAAAATCAGGTTCACTAAAATACAATATTCCACTTTATAAAGACCCAATAATTATATAAGAATGGATAAGAAGACTGTACAAAAGCAATTATGTAATTATTTGGATGTTACCATCATAACTCATCTTTTAGACCATTTCTTCCATCATCACCTTTTCTATGCTTCCTTTTCGTTTTGGACTTCGGTTTAGCTGGAGTATCTACTGATTTCTCATCCGTTAGTGTCTCAGAAAGACATCCTACAATGAAAATACCCAACAATCAGTGCAGTGTAGATGGCGCCACAGTGTAGTGATAGTAATGAACTTTGGATCAGTTTTAACTTGAAAGTTGAATGCGTTATGGAAGTTACTTTCTGACAGTACCAACCATAACTAGCATGAACTAACCTACCTGTGGACAACGTAAACTATTATAAACCTATTTATAGTAATGCTACTTTAACTTTGACCTCTCTTGTTTATATATCCAACAAATACTGAATTAGTATCGGCTAAGATGTTAGCTCACCGTCTTCATCTTTGGATAACACTTTCTGGGAACATAAAAACTTGGTGAGGGGTTCATCATCATGGTAGAAAAACCAATTCTCTATGTCCTCCTCATACTCCTCTCTCATCAGTTCACACTAAACGAAACATATGATGGAGTCAACTTAACAAACACTCTTCAATCACCCTACCAACAAAGATACATTAAGATGAGAACAGTTAGTTTGAAAGCTAATTCAATTATTAACAGAGCTTATAACCGTTTTGTTGCAGGGAGATTGTCGCATATGACATATAAATTATAAGACCGAAGCATAAAATTAAGTAGCACAATAGGATGATTTATCATTATGTTCTGTGTTAACCTTATACCATTTTCTTCACTTGTGAGATTTCAGCATGAGGACTGTCCCACATCTCATCTGGAATACCAAGTTCTACCTTAACACCTTTTGCCCTATAAGAAATAGACACCGGAAATTGAGACGAAATACAGACCTCACACTTTTCATTTCATCCTAGTGTACGGACACTATATATATTCTTTACTATGTGATAGTGCGAAATGTGCACAAACTACTTTGCGTCACCTGATAATGTCAGGAAGTGATAACAAAGCTATTGAGTTCACTAGGAGTGTTTAGGACAAATTCCTTATTCAACACATTTACCAGTGAGCACCACTACAGAGATATTTGGACTTACTTAAGCCCCTTGAGTGTTCGCATTGTCTCGCTCTCTCCCTTGGCATATCTTAGACTTCCCTGCCTCTCTGCATGAACCTTATACAGAAGTACCTGGTCACATACTTCATCCAGAACTTCAATCAGTCTTGTTTCACTGGAAGAAATAACAGCAAGTATTATTGATATATATTCTGATTATTCTCTCAAAGAGCAATGCACCATGACATTGTAGAAATGCAAAGTTATTACTGAATAACATTTTTACATACGACTTGTTGTATTTTACAGCTTTCTTTTGCTGCTGACCAAAACGGCCCATCTCAAGACGGTCGTGGGACGAGGTCCTATGAAGTCTATCCTCCACTTCAGAGACCAAGATTTTGCATACTAAAACACAGCAAAAAAACCCACTGCTATAATGACATCAGGTTGACACATGTCCCCGTTTGCACCTAAATAACAATACCACCACTAACAGCAGCAATGGCAAAAGCAATAACGAAAGCTTTAAATACAAACAATAACAATACAACCATAAACACATTGGCAAATAAAATAAATTTCAAAAAATTTGCGCAAATGAGGCCTGGAACTCAGACTGGTCCCCGGGGGCTAAATTTCTAACTCTATTACTCAATACTATTAGTATTATTCTAGACTAGTCACTCCACAGGTACTTGGAGCGTTTCAATAAAATATAATGCTAAATAAATACGAAATATATTTACTACCAAAGTCTTAATGTTTCTCTACAACCTATTATTGCCGACAATTTCCTGTAAGTGCCGTCCAAATGCTCATCTGCAACACACGCTGGCTGCCGCACGCTAGCTGCTGCACACTGACACATAAATAGGTGAAAGAGAGTAGAGAAACATTAAGACTTTGGTAGTAAATACATTTCGTGTTTATTTACTATTATTTTTTTTAATTGAGCCGTTCCCAATGCCTGTCGCTGTGGCTACCGTGTGCCACCAATGCAGTCCAGTCCACAGCCTTTGGAGCGGTGCATTATAAAATGAGTAATGCAAAACACCGGTGCCGCCAGAGTGACCTGGCTCATCCGACGGTCTGTGCTACGTTAAAATCGTAACATTCGAGTGCCGTGCGCAGTGTACACCGTTTGTTAGGCCGCAGATTATGCAGATCCATCCCAGTCCCGTGTACAGCATCTATTTCAGCAAACATTTTTTTTTTATTGCGGAGAGATGAGCAAGACGAGAGACGAGACGAGAGGGGGCGACGCGAGAAGAGAGAAAAGAGAGAGAAAGAGAGAGAGAGAGAGAGAAAGAGAGAGAGAGAAAGGGAGAGAGTCAGTCAGACTAAATTGTTTATAAACAAATAACATTTGACCTATCCTGCCGGGACATTCTTCTCACTCTGTTCCGATAGATGGCGTGCATACTGACTATGTGCAGGGAATAGATAATCCGAATTAGTTGCTACCTTCGTTTAGCCCATGCTGTGATACTATCAGCCAGCCACTTGACACGCAGCTAGGGCCTGCATACCTCCCAAATCCCATTGGTTGATACAAATCACGTGCCTGAAACTTCTGTTTTATGGTGCATTGTGACCCTAACCCTAACCCTATTAAAAATAATAATAATGTAATTGTTGTAAAAATTATTTGTTGTTATTAAATTGTTGTAAATAAATCATGTAAATATTTGTGTTAATTGGAAAAAAAGAGTTAAATGGATAAAAATACAGAAAACAGGAAAATAATTAAAAAACAGATGTGATTCGATCCAACGACCTTTCAGCCGTGATGCCAGTGCTCTACGCGTTCGGCTATTCGGGCTTATGCGAGGTAGGACTATTTATAGTTGGCCTTAATCAAAAACAGACGTTTGCGTAAGTGCTATTGACATTGTATTCCCAACACGTGTACAGAATCTCATATAGAGAATGAAGTTCATATATGATTTAAGGCGCATAAACGATGTTCAAGTAAGTTTTGCATGCAGAATTTCACTGTGAAATTTAAGTCTTCCACAATCACACAAGTACCATCAAACACAGTTCAGTCCTTTGTTAACCCTTTTAGAGGCAGGTTTTTGCCCAAATACATTGTGATTTTGGCGAATTAATTCCCAAATTTTACCTAAAAATGGGTAACTTTGATTTAAACTTCTCTAGGGCATTATTTGTGGCTGAAATCGTGGTAAAATCATTATGATTATACATGAGTACACTGTAAGTGTCAATAAGAGTAGAAAAAGTGAATTTTCCTACCTTACTTATGATATTGTGGGAAGCATGTCTTGCATAGTCCAACACTATAGTCAAGCATGCACATCATCATTTTCACTTTCATTACCCGATTCTGAGTCAGAACCAGGGAAATCATTGGGATCTAGGTCACTACCACTATCTACAACCTCCTCTTCATCATCAGAATCAGATAGAAGTCTCACAATTTGCTGTATATTGAACAAACGGGGCCTATTTCGCACAGAACGATGTGGTGATTTACTGGAGGTCGCAATCTTGAAACAAGTTTTTTACTTCCGGGTCTATAACCTTGTCAATTTGGTGATTCAATAAACATTTACCATGATATCAGTGATAAATATGTACCGTTTCCGTTTCCGCATTGCCGATTTCCGTCATGATCATTATAGATGTAGCGCGCATGCGCAGTTGTCGTGGTTGTTGTCGTTGCTGCCGCCATGATTTATATTAAAATCTCACTACAGCTAAACTCAAGTGTTTGTTTCTCGCTTAAAGATGTCTACGACAATCTTAGCCCCGCACTACATACATGTCAACTGGCGACGAGGATAAAGCTACGTATCTGTGTATGATTCCGGTGATTCCAGCCCCAGAATTTGAAGTGTTTGACAGTTTAGTTCGCTCCTAGGTCACGCCATGGAGCACGAAGGACTCGCGCCATTCTCCCTCAACCCTTCTGACAACGTCAGTACGAGGTGGGAAAGGTGGGTCCGACGCCTTAATAATTTTCTGGTGGCAAGAGACATTACGGATGGTGGTAGACAGAGGGCCATGCTTCTGCACTACGCAGGGGAAGATGTTTTTGAATTGGCGGATTCTGTGGGTGTCCTGGAAGATGATGATTATGCTGCAGTGAAAACGAAACTCACCAGGTATTTTGCCCC